AGAGCCAACATCTAATGAAATATAAAAAAAAGAGATTTTTTTTTGTTTTACTAAAAATGAAAAATAAAAGATTAGAGAAAAACTTACTGAAGCAAGCCAACAAACATCAAGATTCAAATAGACCTGTTCTGGTTTTGAAAAATAAAGAACCCAACGACCACCACTTGAATTTTGTGGATCTTCCCAACAAGGTAAAATAGAACTTTTAAATAACATATAATCACAACTCGGTGGTAAACGTGAAGCAACACGAAGATGATTGAAAAGACTAACAAAAAAAAAAAAAAGGAAAATTTTTATATTAAAAGAAAATAACAAACAAATGTATAAAATTAAACTTTTTAACTATCAAAATTAAAGTTAAATTTTCTCAAAATGTAAAAATTTCTGTTCGAGTTACAATATTCATTAATTACATAAAGTAAGATAAGTTGTTATGCGATGTATTGAATTTATTAAAACTATCAAAATTATTCTTCGATAGTTTAAAAACAACGTTAAACAAATCCTAGAAAAGCCGTTAATCACAAAAACTGAGGTTTAGTGAAAGATATTTCTCTCCTTTTTGCATCATAATGAATTATTTTCAATTATTGCAGGTACGTAAACTCCGCACTTTTGCGAGACCTAACACTTGCTTCTATCAAATTTTCGTTTCCTTATTAGGTTACCATAGTCGCACTTCACTGAAGCAGACTCGTTTACTATAGTGTAGCGGATGACTCAGCTCTCTATAGAAACCAGACAATTCTATTGTTATATGCGAAGTAAATATCTGCTTCTCAATTTCAAATGGGAACTAAGACGTGCCTACAATTTTTTTTTCTAGCTCTGCTGCTTTTATAATCGTTCATCTGAATTCTCTTGTTCTTATGGTTTTTTTCTCGTATTCAAAACTTCGAATTTTTTTTATCGAAATAAACCATCGATAGATTGAAATTCATTCAAAGTAATTCGATTAACTTACGCCCAAAATTCTTCGACATAACCAAATGTTGCTAATTTCATTAAATTATCTTGCCAATCTTTTCCTTGTTGATTTTTTAAATACCAAAATGACCATTGATGTTCAAGTGAATGTATTAGTTCAATTTGTTTATTCATTAAAATAAGTGGTATCGGTGACTCACTTGTTTCTAATGTTGAACCATTTGATGATGTTGGTAATAAATGCGATTCTTCTTTATGTTCATCATTATTTAATAATTTTTTTTCAAGTAAATTTGTTATATTTATTGGTTTAATTGTATTCAATTGAATTTGTTCAACTAAAATAAAAAAAAAAACAAAAACAAACAATTTTCTTTTGTCTTATTAAATAAAGAATATTATTGTACATACAATCATCGTTTATTTGAATAATATTTTCTTTGATATCATCAAGTAATTCATTAACAATATTGGTTGTTGATTCTGTAATAAGATTTGTCATTTTCTTTTTTTTTTTTTTAATCTATTATTTCTTTTTACAATCTATTTAACTACAAAGGATCGACTGATGTATGTATGTATATAAAAGAAAGTTTTAACTAACTAACTAGATAGAAGAATAATGATCATACCTCGAATCGATATGTGATTCATATTCTGATGATACCGCGCATGTTATTTATTTAAATAAAAATAAAAATAAATAATTATTCAAATAAAAAATTTTAAAGATATTAAAATCTAACTTCATTTTTTGTTTCAAATAAAAAGAAATAAAAAAATGCATTACTGCATTATATTATTCGATTCAAACAACATTTTATTGGATGATTTGCAAACAGATGACTTTTTTCTTTTTTCGATTTTAATATTTTTTCATTTTAAATATTACTAATATGTATCGTTATTATATAAATTGTAATAATTGGAAACCAACACGTGAAGAATGGATTTATGCAACACGTTGTATAATAAAAACTGAAGTTGAACGTATTGATAAATTTGTATTTCAACGTGATGCAAAATTTGCTCTTGCTGGACAATTATTAATACGTTATCTTCTATCAAAAGTATTTGAACGTAAAAGTTCATCATTTGAAATTCAACGTAGTGAACGTGGACGTCCATTTATTGAATCGATACATAAATTTGATTTTAATCTTTCACATCATAATCAACTAGTTTGTATTGCTGGAACATTTGATGGACAAATTGGTTGTGATACAATGGAATATAGAATAAATAATGAACCAAAAGAATCTATTGAATCATTAACAAATTTGCTTCAAGGAGAATTTACAAAAAATGAATATGATTTTATATTAAATAAAAGTAAAGATGAAAAAATACGTTTTTGTCATTTTTATCGTATATGGTGTTTAAAAGAAAGTTATGTTAAATGGTTAGGTTGTGGTATTGGTTTTAAATTATCAAGATTAAATTTTTGTATAGAAACAGAAAATTTTGATGAAAATAATTCTCAACAAATATTATTTGATACAAAATTAGAAATTGATAATAAATTAATTGATGAAAAACTTCGTTTTGATGAACAAATTATTTATTTACCAGATAATGAACAACAAATTATAACATTATGTTTATCAAATAGAAATACTTGTCAACCATTTATTGAATTAACTATTGATGATATACTTAAAGGTTGTACACCATTAGATGAAAATATACATGATGAAGAAAAATGGTGGAATAATTTTCAAGGAAAAAAATTAAAATAAATTTTTAAATGTAAGTTATCAATGTTGAAATTAATACAAAGATTTTGTTAGTTCACGATCATATATTGAAAAATATAGAGGATTTGCCGAATATAGAAAGTATTTTATATTCAAATTAGAATTAATAATCTATTAGATTAAAGCTAATATTGTAGAAAGTTATCAGTGCCACCCATACTTTCATATATTTCTGAAATGCGTTTGGATTTGGACAGTTACTATTTAAGAATTTTATTATATGTATTGAGAAAGACATATTCTCAACTGTCGTACGTCATTTCAGATGATATTATGAAGACAAGTAGATCTCTGTGAAACGTAAAAAAGCTTATAAAGATTTAAGTCCATTATAAAATTTTGACAGTCACAATAAAATCTTGCATTATGAAGTGTTCGAAAAACTCTTACTTTAACTAAAAAATTCACTAAAATAGTCATAACTCTTCGTCAATAGGGTATTGGTGTTCAAAAAATCTACTCGTACATAGCCATAATATCAGTACAAATGATGTTCAATAATTGAGAATACTCCATGATTGATACTGAACAATGCATTCGTAGTTGATTAGTAAACATTATTTTGTTTTTTAACTAAAACTATAATGATCATATTTTTAAAAGTTATAGAATAATCATCTTGAAGAATTCTTTAAACTGTTTATGTCAATTTTTCTGAATTCATGTACATAGTTTCATGATAACTATTTTCTAAAATTTCTATTCAGTACTTGGCTTGTCAAAATTGATTTATTTATTAATATGAAACTGGTAGAAAAAATAATAACTCTAATCAAGACAATTATTTATTCACATCTAGTGACTTTCAACAGTTCTTGTCGGAATTAAAATCAACTAATCAATATTTATTTAACGTATAATTATATGGTAATCAATTTTTGCTAAGCTTTATCAAAAAATATGCCTTTTATTGTTTTGTTTTTTTCGTTTTTGATTTTTTTATATTTACCTGTTGAATATGTTGGTGTTACTAATAATTCCGAAATCTCAAGTTTATAGACAATAAAACTAATCAGGATAAAGTTTTTTATTGTTTTATTCTCAGACAAAAAACAAAAAGTTTGAGCCATAAAGAATGATTCTCTTAGTATTTCTGTTACATTTCGATCATCGTAACATTCCATTTTTCAATTCTCAAAAAACTATATCTATCTGCTTAAATATTCAAAATAAATTTTTGTTCGATTAAATAAAAACAGTGATCTTAGGAGCTATTCGAAAATTTTATAACTAGACAAGAGATTTTGTTACGAGATCAGTTTCTAGCACTGTCTACGTGCAAGAAAAATTCAACAGAACCGAGAAATCGATCGCAACATTTTCGAAATCATCTATTGACGATCGTTCTTATTTAACTTCAGCCCAGTTTATGCATACTACGAGTCTATCTGATACATCGCAGCTTCATGATGTTCAATAGTAGTTTATTAGCAAATCAATAATCTCAATATGAATGACTAGCATTTAGAACAAAAAAAAATGAACATGGAGATGATGAAATGGCTAATTCACACTATTGATTGCTTATGCTAAAAGAAAGCCAAACAAGAAAAATCATTTATTAAAGAATGGAAATATAAAAAATTAATCAAATACTCATTTTTAGAAGGATTGATAAATAAATTATTTGAATAAAAATTGAAATAGATTAAACGATAGTTGAAATACTTCAAAAATATTGAGAAAATCATTCTTTATATGTCATAAGTGATACATATATCGCAAAAACATTCAATCTATTATTCCATTTCAATTATCAAAGTAACTATCATTTTCTGATACTGAATGAATAATAAATCAATAGAACATGGATTATTGTTGAAATTAATAGTTGTCTTTCGTTAACTTGACATATTTACATGAAAACTTTTTTTCATATATTTTTTTCTGTTTTTTTTAATACTTGATATTATTTATATGCAAATAGATATTGGAGTAAAAATACAACTTATGTAATAAAATATATTTATCCATTTTCTATTTTTGTTTTAGTAAATATTTTTCTATACAATTTGTTCTCGAGCAATGCAATGATAAGTTGGAAGTGTGCGTTTAATTTTTCATGAATATTCTAATTCCTATTCTATTAATTAAATAAAGAATTTAATTTGTTATGAATATCTCTCTAGTTGGCATGTTTGAGACAATCTTGAATATCAAAAATAGAAAAAAAGAATAATAATATACAAAAAAAAAAAAAACCAAGAGATCAATAAGAAATATGAATATTAAAAAATAGTAAAATTTCTGAAAGAAAACATGATTTTCATCACAGATGTGCAACATATGATGAATAAAGACAAGATAAAAAAATTAAACATAATCCGAGTTAGCAAGGATTTTATTTAGACGGTCCTGTTTCGGTTTTTCTGTATGATTTGTTTTATTTGTTGATGATCTTTTTCGTCGTCTTTTTGTTTTGACACGAGAATAATTCGTTGATGATGATGATTGTAAATGGTTTCTTACTCGATGTTGTTGAGGTTTCCAGTGATTTTTATGTGGTAAAATATCTACAGTACGTTTTTGTTCATTTGTCGAAGTATAAGTTGTTGGTTTTGTCTTTGATATATCCTTAGATGGCCTGTTTTCATCATCAGAACATTGAATAACACTTAAATTTTCATGATCATCATCTGATGATGATGATGATGATGATGATGAAGTTTCAATAGGTTGATGTTTAGTCATGTTGTGATTTGTATTCAATTTTAACGTTTTAGGTTTAGTCATTGTTGATGAGATTCCTTGAGAAATAAGTTTATCATTAGATGTTTTTTGTGATATACCATTTGTTTTATTATATTCTGATGGTAATTTTTTACTAGACATTTTTTCTTGTTCAATTTTATTTCTTTTTTCATTCGATTTTCGAGTTGATAATTTTGATTTTTGTGTAGATTGTGTTTCATCATCAGTATCAACCTGAGTCTTAAAAACATCTACTGTTGTTGTTGTTGTTGTTGTTCCAGATTTTTTTGTTCTCAATGGTTCAGTTTTTCGTTCTGGTAAAAATACGTCGTCATCATCTTCATTCTCACTATTATTATCATCTGAATCTGTACTGATACTATCATCACTATCATGAGAATCTATGTTATCATCAGAGTGACCTACATGACGAGATTTGTTAGTCTTCGTTGGTTTTCTTATCGGAATATCAGATATTAATATAGGAAATTTTTTACATGTAACACGATAAAGTAATCGACTTAACATATCCCATGAATTCTTTTCAAATGTAATAAATGTTAAACATTGAAGTATAATACTTGATATACGTAATAAAAAACATATTTTTAAATATGTTGAATATGTATCTTGTCTTGTAATCAATTGTGTAATTGTCATAGCCATTGATGCAAAATAAAATGGAAATGAAAAACATACATTTAATAAAAGAAATATAAGACATAATAATGTCATATAACGATCGTCAGATTTTTTAATTTTGATTTTTAATTTAAAAAAAATTGATGTAAAAAAATTATAAAATATTGAAATAGCTGCTGATTTAATAATTAAGACAATTAATATAATAAATATAATAATCAATAAGATTTTAAATACTGATGATAAACGACCATCAATGGAACATTGATAAGATGATGAACTTAATTTACTGAAAAATTCACGAGCTATTTCTGGAGCCATATCGTTAACATTATTTTTAATTGTTTTGAAAATGACTCCTTTTATTAACATAATTGTTGCCATTATTGCAATAAAAATAATCCAAATCGTAAATAAAATAACTGGAATTACATATGATTTTGTAAATATTCTAGTCCATGGTAATTTTGACTCCAATTGTTGTGATAATCTTTCCAGTGAAAGAAAAAATAGAGCACAATGCATAACTGGAATGGTAATGTACATAGCTAAATATTCAAAATTTAAAGATATAATTTTAATAGATTGATGTAATCAGATGAGTGCTCAGTCTCCCTCCTGTCAAAAAATAGTTGAGTACCACATAAAAAATGGTTTGAGTCTCTTCTAGAAGCCTTACTAAAGGGTCTGCTCCCATTCTATAGACATGGCTAGAAGTAGAGCTCGTCGAGTTCAAATCTGAGACTTTGGACCCGATGCGCTTTAGTGATCTGAGATATATGTAGAATGGTCTAATCGCTGAATACAGAAAATCACAAAAAAAGTATCTCATATCTTTGGCACAGCTATCTAATTCGAAGTAGAAAATTAAATTAACAATGTCACAATGTGGTTTGACCGGATCCAAAAAGTTTCAAGTTAACGAGCTTTAGTCAGAGAAGCTGAGTCTTTTTCTACAACTTTTCTCTCTGCTTATGTCATCACCAAAAATATAAGCAACAATATCAATAGATAGATATGTAAAGTATTGTATTTTCAAGATAGATAGTTATTGTTAGTGCTTGTGACTGATATTCTGTTCCGAAGAGACAATCCGAAAGTTAGGAAGGTCAAATAGATACTATGTACACTTAATAATAATGAGCTTGAGAAAAGTAAGCGCCATCTACGCAGTAACATCGCTCTCGAGGACCGTATGCCAGATGAAATACTGCTTATTGCTAAAATTTAATTTTGATAAACATTTATCAGACGGCTTTTTACTAGTATCTTCTCGATTACTATTTCATTGTGAAAAATTTTAAAACTGTTTCGAATGTTTTCACCCATTATCCATGCCTAGTTACAATAACAATGAAGGTGCTTCTGTTGTTAGTTCATAAAATTAGACGGATTCAAGTTAAATTAAAGCATGTACATTGAAATTAACAAATTTAAAATACAAGTTATCCTTGACATACATGCATCGAATTATTTCAATTTGAACATACTAGTAGTATACACAATGTGCTCACAATTCAAAATTTTAGTCGAGTTTTTTTGGGCTCTTTAGATATAGTTCATTGAATTGCATAAGAAAATATATGTTTCAAATCATAAAATTGAAATTTTTACAAAGATCAGATTTTTGAGTATAACTTCTCTTGAATTTGAACAATGATGATATCGTTGATATTTTTGCTCAGATTTCTTTTTCTATGATTTGAAACATACTTTTCTTGTGCACTTTGATGAGTTCTATAAAACTATCATAAGAAAAACTTTGCTGAAATTTTGAATTGTGAGTACCTTTACATATATTGTCAATTTATTCAAATTCGAATATTTCAGTCTTTGCATGCCAAGGACAACCAATATTTTAAATTTGTTAACTTGATGATGAGAATTTAAATTTAACCCGAATATCTCTAGTAATATTAATTAACAATAGAAGCACCTCTATTGTAAGCTTTGTATCACAGTACCTGTATTAAGTTAATAAAGAACTTTTATTAATAAAATTTCGTAGCATCCGTAAAATCAACTTCTGCAAAGAAAATTATTCTAAATTTTTGTTTGATTTCATTGAATTGATAATAAGCATTAACATCTGAATATTTACTATGTAAATAACTAAAATAGTTGTAGTGCATATGAATTGTTTTGAAAGAAATAACTTATTTTATAATGATTTATATAAAAAATATCGATTCATTCCATCTACTAAAACTTACAGACAATTTTCATAATTGAGACTGATAATGAAACACTAAGGCTCCTATTATGACTTTATGTGACACTATAAAACAACATTATTCATTTTATTACGATTCATATCTATATAGAACACGATTAATTATGAATATTTCATTTTCTTATGATTTTTCTTGATATTAGAAGATTATTTAAATTCAATATCGAAAAAACATACTATATGACAACGAACTTGATTTTAAGGACGTATAAGACAGTTTACAATGATTACATTTTTTTTTTCTTTCATTTCTCATCGAATATGTTTTTTTTTTTTTGAATTCGAATTTCATTAAAAATTATGAATATGAGTTAATAAAAAAGAATCCATATATTAACTATTTGAGAAGTGAATCAATAGAATTTTAAAATAATCAATCACAGATAATAATTTCTTCTTGTTCTAACTATTCTTAGATATTCTCATGCAAATATTTCTTATAACACAAAAAGAAAAAAAGATAAGAAATATACAAACCATAATTAGCAAAACTACAAAATAAATTTCCTAATTGAAAATTTCGTGCTACATTGATCATTGATAATAATATATAAATAAGATAAAATAATTCACATAAAAATATATGAAAAAATATCATTTTAACACTATTTTTTCTTAATCCATATCTTTTAAATAGTATACATATAGTAATTATTGTTGGAATTATACATAATATTGCAATAACCCATAAACAAACAATTGCTACTTTGAAATAAACATCTTCAGTTGTTTGAGGATTAAATAATGAATCATAAAAACCTTTTGAAAATGTTTGATTATTATTAGATGAAATTACACCAGGAATTAATGTTTTTGTTTTATTTATAATCATTCCAATACCTGTTCGATCTTTTGCAATATCAGTAAAATTCTGATATTTTTCACGTAAATCATGATATGTATCATTTGGTATTAATCGTTCACGAATAGATGATGTTATATTAGGTTTAACAATATTTTTAATTTTAGCTTTCCAATGCGCACGTAATGATGGTTGAGAATCCGATGACATTTATAAACAAATTCGTTTGTTCTTTTTTTTTTTCTAGATAATATTAATCTATATAAATAGACAAAATCTTTGTTTTATGACTCATAATATCTATGTACCATCGTTTATGAAAAATGACAACAAAAGAAAAAGAAATGTACAGGCGATAAATTATCTTAGTTAAAATTTAAAGGCACCTGCTGTGTTATTGTTATAAAAAAATTTATGATCTGTAAGACTTCAATAGTCATCATAATAAATGAAAGTCTAAAGCAAATAAAGAGATTTTATGTGTACATACGTATAAAAATGTGAAAGTAGAATAATAACTGTATTATTGATTTGATAAAAGCTTTTCTTTTTAAGTTTTTTTTTTTGAGTTTTGAATCAAGGAAAAATCTAAAGGTAATTCAAATGATTGTATAGATAAGATGTTTATAATCAATAGAGATAACTACACTGCCTTCGGATTGTTACTCTAATGTTGTGTAATGATTAACAACTCAGGACTGCTTTTTTTTCCCCTACGTCAACATCCTTCTTTTTCTTTTTTTGTTGGATTTTTACATTGGTTTTAGATTGCATTTCATTTCTTCTTGGCATAATTCTTTTTCTCTCTCTCTCTCTCTGTCTCTTTCTTTTTCGTCTAAAGACTATTCAGTTTCTTTTACCTTGAAAATTGTTGTAGTCTACATATGATGTATATATAAATGTATGAAAAAGAAAATAATTCAAGTATTGATGCTTATAAAACGATAGAAATTAGGGCATGTTTGTTTGGTCGATGATTATTTTATACGTTTGAGATTCGAAAGAAAGTGTAAAATGTGTTTCTGTTTTCTTTCTTTTTTTTGCATCATTATTCTGATGATCAAATGATCATTTGAAGGTCGAGGAATAACAATGCATAATAAGTTATCTTTCAGTCTGTCTTGTTCTTTCTCTCGTGCTTTTTTCTTTATATACAATGGTTCCATATTACCACTAAGAAACGATTTTTTTTCTCTCAAATTATTAATGAAATCATTAGTAATTTATCATTCATGTAACCTAAACAAGTTTACAACGCTTAGCCTTTCTCTTAATGAGTACATTATATGAATATATTTTTTTCAAAACAAGTAATTGTATCCGTTTAGTCATCATGCCATATATGGAAATGATCGATTGTCATCTTCACATACTAAAATTAAATATACATACTAGAACATTTAATTGCTTGAAATAATGTTTAACACTTACATAAAATCTTTGAAGTTGTATCAGCTGAATAAGTCATTAACAAAAGTAATGACGTTGAAAACAAAGCATTATTCAACCTTTTTGACTTTGTTTCTTCAATCTCCTATTAACTTATTTATATAAGATAGTGATATTAACAATAAAAAGACATATGACTAGATAATCGAAGACATTCATTTGTAATGTATCTGTTTATTGTTAATGATTCATGAAAATGCTATCAAGTAATACATTTTCTCTAAGATTATTAATAGAATGTCATTATATACATAGTTCGACAAGAGTAGATTTTCAAGGTTTTTTAGTTTTACAGTTAAATGAATGTATTCACTTTATTGTTTTCAATAATTTTATTTGTTATTGTGAATAATCCAGAAGGTCACTGACAAACATTGATGACATCATGTGTTTCATGTAATAGTAGCCTATTTTGCACTTACAACATACATGACACTTTTCTTTGTACAAAATAGAATAAAAAGAAAAAGACAAAAAAACAACATTAATGTTCTCAAGTTCTTGTCACAAATCTTCGAGTTTATTTAAAATGTGAATCATGATAGACTTTTTACGTTTACGTTCTCTTTAGAAAATGAATTACATATAATATATGAAATAGCCATCATCGTTATTTCATCATAGTTAATCAATATCATCAGTCGGTACCGCAATACTATTATTAACAACGACATCTAGTTTTATTTACTTATTTTTATGTATATCGTAAATGAACATAATAATCTTTTTGTAAATATAAAATTCTTTTTATTTAATGAAATATAATATATAAAAAAAAAGGAATTAATCATCATATCAATGATATTCAATATTAAGGTTTTACCTAGACTACAATCAACTTTTATAATAATCAAGGATATCTGCAATCTAAATGCATTGATATATTAAAGAATAAAAAGATGAAAAAAATTTTAAAAAAATCTATTTCAGATAATTTTAATAAAAATAATGTCAGTTATTATATCAAATCGTCCTAAATCACAAATTAATGTAGGATAAAATAATAGTAATCTTTTTTGTCATAGAAGTTTTTCTTTTTTTTTTAATAGATTTTGGATAAACGTATACCACGAAATCCAAAATATGAAAATATTAAAGCAACGATTGACACAGGTTCTTATTGATAGTGTTGTTTTTTTTTTTTGGAAAATTATTTTCTTTTTTTTTGATGTTCTAGGAGATAGTCTTACAAAATTTCTTAAACGAAATGAAGAATTACGTGCATGTAAGTTAAGAAAATTTCGTGTATTCGAAACAAAATATCAGATGAAAAATATCAATCTTACTTCAAAATTTTTTTTTTCATACAGACAAGAGATTTGAGATGTAGTATATTTTTAAAATTAAAGAAAATATTGTTTTCTGAATTAACCATTCAAGTTATCGTATGTACAGTATTGATAAAAATCGGAACACTTATGATTTGAATTTATTCAAACAGTTAAATCCATTGGATTTAAAAAAAAAGCTTTAATAGTATTATGAGATAAATAGAACTTTGAATCAGAGTTAAACAAATTAATTCAATTCAATTGAATGATTTAGCTTTGATTTCGAGAAATTCGATATATGAGGTTACGCCAATCAGCATGTAAAGTAATGAATATGTACGCCTTCATGACTCACATTGATAAAGATGTACCCTAGTGTATTAAGGTCACAAGTGGATAACCTAGATAGATGCATCATGTGAGCACGTACAAATATTAGCGATGACACTGTGCAAATAGAAAAGTCAAATATAGAACTGCGTTTATGAGTCAGATATTTCTAAATATAAACTTAATGAAAGATTACAAGAAACAAAAGAAAGGAACACTTTATTTTTTTTGAGATTTTAAAAGTTTAGTCTTTGATAATATTTAATAGATATTTCATTTTTTTAAATTGATTTGAACTGATGAATTGTTTGCCTGAGCTTTGAACAAGATGAAATCAAATTACAATATTTTGATATATGGATAGAAAGATTTTAATCATCAAGTTTCTACTGATAAAAAAACGTTTCTTTTTTCAATGCTGTAAGCAATATGCTAAAAAGAAAAATATTTTATAATAAACTTTACGATTCCTTGATAGAAGATTTTGAAATAGTGACTCAATCATAAAAAAAAATATTTATAATAACACCGTCAAGACTTTTGAAAATTGTTCATCTTTATAAGATGTTCAGAATTGCTGATATTTTCTAGAGATAGGCAAGACTGAAAATTCTCCAGAAAGTTCTTTCATTCTTATAATACTAGAAAGTCATAAACGGGAGAGAAAGATGAAACCCAACCGACAACCTATCATCACGCTATTCCTTTACTAAAACCTTCAAAATTGTATTTACCTTCAAAGACATTGCCTGCTTATTTTTATTTCGCCTTTTGCTAGAGAAAGACAAATGGTATTCTAAATTCGATTACGCTCTAAAGTTACCATGAAGCCATAAAAAAATTGATAGAAAGTTGAACATTTTAGGACGGAAATGTCTTAAACGTGTTTATCAGTACTGGAGTAATCAGAAACTATTCTCTGTGTAGTTTATCTTCCTGCATTTGAATATTGATAAGTCCATAAATAATTTTCAACAAACTATAAAATTTTGCTTTGTTTTACAAAGTTCTCTGTGATTGTTTTGGTTTCGATAAATGTGAGTTTTAATGAAGGTTTTGCTGTATGATTCATCCACAATTTTTTATTCAATAAGTTTTATCACGTCAAAACTGATGAATTTTTGTTTAAATAGTTTGACTTTAGTTTGTTTGATAATTGTTCAAATATTCAAGTTTTTAAGCAAGGTCACTTATTAAGTGAATTTTTCATTAAATATAAGACGATGTTGGGATATCATTGTTTTTCTTGAAATATACAGACATAACGAATAATGAATCGCAGTTTTATAATGGATTAGTCAGAAAGAATGAAAATGAAACAATGCAAAAAAAAGAGTGCACATGCGTTCAGTTAAAACGAGTTAAAATAAGTATCAGGATTGTAAAAACAATGTTCAAGTTGAGAGTATGAAGATGTTCACTAATAGAAGTTCGACTGTATTTAAAATTAATAAATGGTCGAAAATGTTTTGGGATAATTAACTTATTTTCTTTTGTTATCAGTGAATTTATCAACAAGAAAAGAAACATTGACAATAGAAACTTAATATACTTGCATTTCTGTGTGTCGATATTTGTTATATTTTTATGATCAATTTTTAAACTGTAATATGTCAAAAGTCAATGAAACCTTTCATTAAGATTCTACAGGACAAATCTTACTTTGTCTTGATATTTGAATAAAAATGTCTACCGCCAAGAGATGTTACTCAGTTTTGGTATTTCATTTTTGTGCATATGAAACAACGGTCGGAGTTTTTTTGAAGCAATTCAAAGACTTCGGTGTAGGTACATTCAGGATTGTTCCACATAAATATATTTTCCGATAGTTATTTAGTTAAAAAAACATCATGAAAGATGCTCATTTAATGATTTCACGAATGGTTGTTAGATGTAATATCGTTCAATATTTTCTTATTTTAAATGTGTCATAGTTTTTGCAATGTATTTTATGTCAATAAGTTATTCTACAATGTCTTTACTATTATTATTATTTAATTAAAAAAAGAAATATCATGTCTGTCATTGTAGCCTACGAAACAAACATTCATGATATGTAGAATCAATGCTTTTCTTGAGAATCATGTTTCTGAATTTTTTTTATGAATATAAATTAGATTCATTAAAAAAAAAGAACACATTGAACAGTAGTGTACTAAT